ATTACCCTCCCCAGACCCCACTTGTGGGATTATACTGGGTCGTTATTGTTGTTGTTGTTGTTGCAACATCTGCATGTGGTCTTTGTGGTTCTTGACAAAACACACTTAACCCTCAATAAATGAATTTCAGGCTTTTGAGATCCCTCCATAAATTAATTCTTACAAACCTAATGTATTGCTGATACATGAGCAATGTGAGTATTACATGTTCTGGTAAGTGTTTTATTTTATTCTTCATATTTTCAGGGTAAATCTCTTCTTCTTTTTCTTGGGCATGTTTTTCATCCTTCTCATTTTTGCAATTTCATGTTCTCTATCAAAATTGCTTTGTTAGTATATCAGGTTTAGTAGCCAAACTTCCTTTGACTTGATAGGGTCTATTAGGAGGGATCAAATACAAAATTAGATAATTCGAAAGAACGTTCCTTGCTGCAAACATTCTTACAAGAAGTGTCATGTGGAAAACTTCACATGTTTGAGGCAACCTTCGAATGTAAACAGAGTGCCTAGCATGTTCACGAACACATTGGCAACAAATTCGTCCATTGTGTTTAAGCATGGTACGGACATGTAAGCTTTTCTTGTCAGATGCCATGTTTCAAACACGTAAGCTCCTGTGGGCTCATGCATAGTTATCCTCATGTTAGTTTGCAATGTGATTTTGGTTCCTTTTGTATATGCAAGTTTATTTGCCAGTATTGTTTAAGTTTCATTATTGTACATGTGATTATATTCCTTTTCAGATTTCTCCCACGAGGTGCGTGAAATTATCTCAAGACTGTGGCAACTTAAGTGGGAGCTTTTTGCAACTTTTTGGCCTTACTTCATAGTTATGGTCGCTTTCATTACCTTTGTTTGTTGGAACGGGAGTATAGTTCTTGGTACCATCTCTCTCTCTCTCTCTCTCTCATTTCTTTGTTTCTTTTATGGTGTCTCCTCCTTTGTTAATCGTGTGTGCATGCACGTTCTTTACATTCCAGGTGCAAAAGAGGCTCATACAGTTTCTCCACATTTTGCACAATTGATGTATTTTAGCTTGGTATCTGCCCTGTTTATGACTCCCGTGCACTTCACAATTAGGCAAGCTGCAATGCTAGCTCAGTCCTTCTGGAAGAAAAATAAGCTAGTCAATTTCTTTGAGTTGTGTACGGCGTTAATCGTTGGGTTCTTCTCAGTGCACTTTTTCAGGTAAGATGATTGATAATCTCTGTTAGTTTGTTATTTCCACTATCCTTATATTCTTTTTTTATCTCTCTTTTTATTTTTTCTATTTTTTTAGCCATTCATCACTTCCTTGTTCTGCAATCCAAACTATACATCATTCATTAAAGAGTTTTTTTCTTATGTCTCTCTTCTTTATTGCAAGCAAAGATTTATTGGAGTTCATTTCTTAGAGATTTTGGGTGTGTGCATTATTGTTTTTGGCTGATTCTAATTTGATATCTATTAATTGGTTCCTCACAAATTTGAAGGGCAATAGTTTGGATTCAAGTGACCAGGAAATGGTAGCGTGTATTTTTTACATAATATTTTGATGAATGCAGCATTGCCCACCCTTATCTCGTTGCTGACAATCGACACTATCCCTTTTATCTCTGGAGAAAAGTAATCAAATTTCATTGGACAATGAAGTACCTTCTGGTTCCACTCTATGTGTATTCATGGATATCCATCTTCAATATCTTGGGTCAGTAAAATATTCAGTCCTATTTTAAGTTGCATATGTTGTTTCGACTATACAGCCCTAGCTCCTCCTGGGGGTTACCTCAGGTTTGTGCAATAGATGTTCAAAGGAGAGAAAATTTTGTATGTAGCTGTGGTTTCTCCTAAGAATATTCCTTTTTTCCTCCATTTGCAGCTAAAAGTCAGAGGAAGACATGGGTACTAGTATATTTTTTGGCTACCGCTGCGACATTGATTCCTGCTCCACTTATAGAGTTCAGATATTATACCATTCCATTCTTTTTCTTGATCCTCCACTCTCATGTTGATGATGACAGAAGCTGGCTTCTGATGGGAGTCCTGTATGTTTCCATCAATTTTTTCACTATGTATATGTTCTTGTTCCGGCCGTTTTCTTGGGTCCATGAGACTGGTGTACAGAGATTTATATGGTAGCAAGTCAGACACTTTGGAGAACTTAAGTGGTTTAAATTTGCTGCACCAGTATTCTGGCTGTACCTGCTGACCCCAATTGGCCAATTTGCTCATTCATCTGGCAAGCATAAAGTTCACAAGGCACTATTACACCTATTCTACTTTTGACAGGCAGTTAGGATCATTCTTTTTTTGTAAGTTTAGGGGGAACTGGTATACTATATCATTGAGAATGATGATCTAGCTGGCCTATCAAATTTTGGTAGATGTTGTCGTTGATATTGTACCAAAAAAAAGGCAGTTCGGTGCACGAAGCATCCTGCATTCACGCGGGAAAGGGTCAAGTCGTTGATATTGTACAATTACTATTTTAGCATCAGAATGAGTGGTGAAAGGAACTTTTTATCGAAACAAGTTGCTAACCATTGAGGTTAGTTACTAGCTCATTATATCAAATTAACTCTGTCTGCTTTCGTAAATTACTTTCGTCAAATATAGTTTATCTTTAAGCTTTGGTTTCAAATGTTTATTTGATGGGAAAACGTGGGAATTTTGGAATGAGGATTTCTACGATGAAATTGACAGACTTGTAAGAAAAGTAAGTAAAAGGAAGCTTGCATGTGTTGTGGAATTTGAATGGTAGGTATTTTGCACATTATAGGGATAGTGTATTGGAAATTTCCAACTCTGCCTACGCGTAAAGTGCACTCAATTTAAAATTCAGATATAGTGTAATATATTTTTAATCCCGATCAAATCTCTAAATACTAATGAACAGAGCGAACTGTGGTAGATTGACTGGTGGTTTTTTTTAAAGCAAATTATACTTGCCCCTATTGAAATATCGTAATTATGATGAATCTTTTGAATATTTCCTCTGTTTGAATTTATGTATCTTATTTTCCTTTTTAATCTATTTAAAAAAGAATGTCTTTTATATATATATANAGATAGCATGATTTAAGGACATTTTGGTATATTATACATCTTTAATGACCGCAAAATTAGAAGTTTTCTTTTTCTTAAATTTTGTGCCTAATCAAACTAAGACACATAAATTAAGACCGATTGAGTAGTTATAATTAAGCAAAGCAAAGTGGATAGAAAAAAATAATATTGATAATTCCAACTACCTTGGAATTAGGACTAAGTTGGTTGAATAAAAGTGTAAGGAGAAGAAGAAGAACTTAACGCTGTAACACAATTAGTGGAAGCAGAAGTCTGTTCCATTTTGTCAAAGGATTACCATTTACGACATATAAAAACAAAACTTATATTCGTAGGTTCTCTTTGAAAGTTGAACATTATGTACTGTCTCAGACATGGAGTTACGCGGAGAGAACTCCCACGACAGAAAACTATATTTGCTTTTAGTCAAATTTTGTGTGGATATTTTAGTCAATGAGATGACTATACTACACGGTTATATGCTTAACTGCAACAACCAATGCATTGTATTTGTCAATTAGTAATGTGGTAAGAAAAGTACCTTTTATGAAAGAAATTATGTGACATGATATTATATATAGTAGGCAAAGATCCTATTCAAGTCTTACCATCACACTTGATCAGAATATTCGAACATGTTTGGTCTAAGAAAAAGAATCAAAACTTGCATCTAAAGGGTCATGAAACAGGCCTCTCGCAGCTGAAAAGTTGGATGAAACTTGCAAATAATACTGGAGAAGGGAACTCTACTTCTCCCTTATAAGATCGCAAGAGGTAGCTAGTGGCTGAAGCAGTGACGAAGTTAGGAATTTTTTCAAAGGTATTTAAATTTGAAAGAAGTAAAAAAAGATTCCGACAAAGGGTGTTCAATATGTGTTATATACCTCTAAAACGTAATATTTTATCTATATACACATTACAATTTTTTGACAAAGGGTGGGTGGCTTCGCCACTGGGCTGAAGACTTAACTCCAATAGCCACCCACTCAACCGCTTAAACTAAAAATTATCGATGTATATATACTAATATGCATAATTCATATATATATATAATATATAATTGAGTATAATTAGTGTATATTTGGTAGGAAAAGTAAACATTCATTCCCTTATATAATCTTACACGAAATTCTCCATAAAGATAAGGCACGATCCATCCAATTGAGGACTCAAATTGATATTGATGTCAATGAGACCTATAAAATAAATATATAAATAATATTATTTTGTTTCTGATAGTTTAAATTTTTAGATGAGTGAGTTCATATAATTGGCAATTCGCACAAGTCAACATATACTTGTTAGGAAAGTTAAGAAAACCTTATCGAAGTTGTAATTTCTTGAAATTTCCACAAATCTAACAAACTCTATATAGTGAATAATAACTGGCGGTGCCCGAAATGAGCCAATATACTTGCAGCAATGTATTAGGCCAATCCGAATATTGGATGTTTAATGGGAAAAGGTAAATAATAACCCTCAAACTCTTGAACAGATTTAAGAAATTTAAGTAATTGCATTCAAAAGTTTTTTGAATAAACAAGCACAGGAGTAGTTATTTAAAAATAAAAAATTAAAAAAAAAAACAGAAGATGAAAACTCAGAAAAATTGGCCGAAAATAGTGAAATTTGAGCCCAAATGTGACCTGGTCATAGCCGATTCACATATTGTAGCCTGCGTAAAGGGCTCAAAGCAGAGGTGGAGCTGCTAGAGTACCAGAAGCAGGTTTGGCCGAATCCAGTAGCTTTGATCGAAATATTTATTTGTTTCAAAAAAATCCATTAAACAATAAAATGTATAAATTATTAATTAGAATTCAATAACTTTAAACGATTAAAATCCTAAATACATAAGTTTGAAATCTTAGCTCCACTAGTGGCTCAAAGCACAAATCCATGTTTTAGTTTAATATTGACAAACGAGTACTACATAGACCATTTCAAATTATTGCTTAATAGAAGTTTCAACAGTAAGGTTTTGTTGTGCAGCATCTAAAGTAGTGGCTTGTCGCAAAACCAACAGAATATAATGCTCCCCGCATCAGTTGTATACGAGAAGTTTAAACCGTGCAACTTTTTTTACAACTGACAATTCACGTATGTTTAAATCGGCCTACGGTTCAACGCTCCGGCCCTCCACTTTTCTCCTTTTAAATACTAAACTTTTGTTGTAACAGAGATCAACCCTAGCTAGTTTTTACGTATGTCTAACTCACATATCATGTGTTGCATTCTTACTGTCAGACCAAATCCCTAGATACGGAATCCCTAGGTACGGAATCGTGTAACTTTTCTTTATTGATCCATTGTTAATAGTATGGTTTTCGATTAGAACTATTTATAGACATATACGTAAAATTCGAATTAAAATACACATATATTCATAATAGATTCATACGCAGTGTTAAAAAAGAAATACTACGTACAGTAATATTTTGTACATAGACTGAAATACTCAATCCGCTTCTTATGAGGATATATAGTTAAAAAATAATTATTTTCTTGACAGATAATCTTAATTCTATAAAACCATATAAGTCAAAACTAAACAGGTCCCACTTGTTATGCTACTACTAGTTTACTAGTCTTTATCCCATTTATTTGTGCATGAAAAGTTAATATGGATTTGCACAAAGAGACTGTACAAAAGGTTTATGTCTATATTCAAATTTCAAAATAGATGCTACAGTACACACTGTTAATATTTTTAGCATAAATTCTAAAAATATAAAATTATATTAATAATAAACTCGTACATACTAGTAAAGAAATAGTGGATGTAAGGTTAGGTTATTGCAAAATTTAAATTTGCAACTGCAACCAAATAGGAATTTTCTAAACCCAAATATATATGTGTGTATCAAATAATACAGTCTGACTTTACAAATTGCAATTAAGACAAATTTTCAAGATAACCCAATTGCAAGTCAGTTAGTATACAAATACAGAAAGTAGGAAGTAAACGAGGGGCCCTTTTTCCAAAAAAACTCGATTAACTAATCGTGTGTACAAACCTAAACCACATATGGTTGGTTCAGAAAGATATCATTTTCATCTTAGACTATTCCAATTTTGGTGAATCATACTTTTATAATTCATTTGAGGAAAAAAAAATAAAATTTTCAAATAATTTTTTAATAGTAGTTTGTTTAGTCAAAGATCGCTTCACATCTCGAATTACCTGTACCTTAGAATAGAGTCAATGGATATTTAATGAATTAGGAACCATAAATTTGTATAATACTGAGAATGAAGTCTAACTCAAATGACGTTATTAAACTTTAAGCTTTTAAAATGCTTGATCTTAGACTACTAATGTTGAATTTCTGAAGAGGTGAAAAAGATTTTTCTCCAAATTTATTTTAAAAATTAAAATTTTCCCTCTAACTTCAAATTATAGATATTTTTCTCTTCATGTCTAAAAACCCAGCCATTGACTAGTGATTTTGAAGACATGATGTCTATTTCACTCTCTAAATTATCAATCTCCCTTTTTTTTTTTTTTTATGAAAAAGAAATAGTCTTCTTTCCTTGTATCTTTTTCTTTTCCGTGCCTTTTCGTGAAATCAGTTAACTTGACTTTCGGACAGAGGCGTCGTGTGCTTAGTGATCGTTTTAGCATAAATACTATCAAGCGTTCCTTGCCCGAAGGATCCAGGAGTCCCGTGTGGAAGGGCTCTCGCTCAACGGAACAAAGGTACGCCGGGGATAACAGGCTGATGATGTTCTTTCGTCCCCTTTTTACCGAAAAATGTTTTATATAAAAATTGGTGTTTTTTATTATTCTAAATTGTAATACTGACTACATTCACAACATAAATAGTGAAGTTCTTTTATGACTTTACTATAAAATCTGTCCTTATTTTAATCACTATTTTTGTTTTAAGTCCATTGAGTGTTTCTGTCTTCTCTCTTTTATGTTCAATTGTATAGATGTAATTAAGTTTTGATTGACAAAAAAGGTAAAAAAAAACAAAATATTAAGCTATGGCCAGTTATCTCTTTTTTATTTTTCATCTTACTCTCAAAATAATTATTTCATTCAGTCTTTTATAATATTGTTTTTTTAAAAGAAAATAAACAAACTTGTTTTGTTACTACTTCTGTAGTTTTATTGACTCTATATATAACAATTGATTAGTTATATAGGTGGAGTCAACTGATATAAATTAGACCAGAAAAATAAGAGGTGGTTTCTAGTTATATAGTAAAACTAGACATTACCATTCCTTTAGAAGTTTAGAAATTAATAATCGGAAAACAACCAAACCAAAAACATTGCATGATTTCTCAAATTAAAAATTCCTAAAATATCGAGTTCCTTTTTAGGATTTATCCTTTTTTTTTTTTTTTTTTCTGTTTTTAGGTGAAAGAAGCATCAGCATCACTTTAGCAAATAACAATAGTATTTTTCAGTGGGTAATGACTGATGTTGATAGTCCAAAAAATCAAAACCAACTCCTCTGTACTCTGAACATTTATTTTCATCTTTTCATTAATATTTTAAAACTCATGCTAAGTCATTAATAATGTCACGAGATTTTAGAGATACCTAAACCACAAGCAACTGTCAAATATTTTTTTTTAGCTTTTAAGAGGTTGACTTTCTACCTCCATGTTCATGTATTTAATTTTATAAAGCGCAACGTTTTCATATATTTATTGATCGAAACCTACCTCTCTCTTTTTTTTCCTTCTTTTTCCATTTCTTTCTATTTATTTGATTTTTTAAATAATCCGGAATCTGAAATTCACTAATCCGGAATGAAACCCAGTAAATGGTGGTTAGTTAAACATCCATCATCGAAAAATTATACCATGTATAGGAGTCAAATATAAATTTTTGCACATATATTAATAAAAAAACCTTAGCGAAATTCATAATTTCGCTATTTTCACTAATTCGATTAATCAACCGACTGAGCAAGGTAAAGCGCTCTTTACTGAAATTCTTCAATTTCGTTGCTTGAATCCAAGAAGCGTATTCATAATTTGAACTTATGAGTTCGAATTTACGAATCTACCACAACACATCTGATTTATTGGGTTTGAAATTTAATTATTTATACTTCATTAATGAATTTTTTACCCTCATATATACAAGATCTGAACCAAAGCTAATGTGTTCGGATGAACCCGTATGTTAAACTCCACGTCCACCCAGTTAAATCTGAAACATATGAACCGTCTAGAGGCAGACACACATTATAGATTGAGGGGTCACCGCATCAGAAAACTTCAGTAAAAACTCATATATACTTACAAATGTGTTCAAAAAATAATCAGATATTATAGCACATGCCCTCGTATTAATTATTATGAACAGTAATAAATTTTTATTGAATATTATATGGTGCACCCACGACCGCCGAATCATAGGTCCGCCTCGATAACCATCCCACTACGCCTATGATGTGGCCTATTTATTTGTTTCTAATTACATCATCAGCTAACAAAAAACATCCAATCAATGCTCTTGAAAGAAAACAACCTTAATGCAAGCTTTTTGTCTGTTAGCTTTTGGTCAACTATTTCCTTTTTGTTTGTTTCTTTATTATGGGGTAGTTTATTTTAAGAAGTCATGCTTCATACAGCATTATAGTACTATAATAGCAGTTTACTAACGTAAGTAGACCAAATATATATACTGCTCCTTTCTGTAAATTAAATTTCATAGGTTGTAAGTACGACTTTTGTGGGTAATTTGCCTAACTTTTTCTTGTATTTTTTTTTTTTTTTTTTGGGTTTTCATTTTTCAACTCAAGAATGGATTAGATTAACAAAGAAAACGCGTAGAGGATTTATGACAAATGATGAGTATAATTGACTATCTCCATTCTCTGGCCAATTGCTTTCTGTTTAGAGTAAACAAAGGATTGATTTTGAAATTTTCAACTTGAAATTTCTAATGAATTCTTGGAAATATAGAGTTTTAGTCAAGGGCAGATGTAGCCTTTCGGCTACGGGTTCAATTAAAACTCATAACTTTCGACATAAAGTATGAATTTATATATAAAAAACCCCACTAAAATCTTAACAAATACTAGGTTTGAACCCATACTTTTACAGTACAATGAATTTAATGCTAAAAATCTTAAAAGTTGAACTCATTAAATTTAAATTTTTAATTCGCCTCTGGTTTTAATCCATCATTCCATATCCTAAGTGCCTGTTTGGACATAAAATTTGATGGAAGATTTTTTCAAAAAAAATTCACTTTTTTTCGAAACCAGTGTTTGTTCATAAAATTTTTAATTTTCACTTGAAGATGCATTTTGGAAATTTTCGAAAATTTGAAAAACTGCAAAAAGCTATTTTTCAAAAATTTCACTCACAAAACTTCAAAAACAACCCAAACTGAAATTTGTGTCCAAATACAACTCTAAAATTCAAATACCATTTTCACTTGTTTCGAATTTTACAATTCTTATGTCCAAACGCCTACTAAATCCTGCAATAATTTTTCATGTCCTTGTATAGTGACGACGAAAAATGACAACAATATTGTTATTTTCGAAAAAAATTTCTACTTAGCTATAAGGATGGTGATGATTCATCTGGCCAACCTGACCTCAACTTGCTTGAGATTGAGACATAGTTATAGTTATTGTCATTAATCACATTGAAAGTTGGTACCAAACCAACCAAATGATGATAAGTGATAAGGAAACTTGAACAGTTTAGTTAGACAACTTGGTCAACTAGAATCATTCATGATGAAATAAAAGAACAAAAGAAAATAAAACACAGTTTGAAATGGTAAACAAAATCAGTAGTCAACTTTCTATTTCCAACAACAATCTATTGCTTGTTTGAGAAACCAAACTTATGGACATGAGGAATAAAAGAATTCCACCAGATTTTCAACTTCAACTTTTCCTCTCTTGGTCACTTCAATTACTTTTAGCATTATGCCAATATTCTGATTCCACATACATTCTTCTAACTTGTTGAGGACAGAACATCAATCTTGAATAGTTAAAGGGCAATCCAATGCACAAAGCATCTGGCGTTTATGCAGGGTCTTTAATTCCCTTCGAAAAAGAGAATCGATCATCTTCGCCTCCTTCTAAGGAAGTCTGAGCTCCTTCCCATGCTAAGAGCCTTTCTAAACTCTTGAACTTAAGAGAGGCTTCTTTTCAAGCTGAGTAGAAATATCGTATAAAGAAAATGGTCTGCGGGCAGCGTACCATCTTGAATAGTTGAAACTAGAAAATAAGTATGGTATAAAATAAAGGAATTTCGACCAACGCGTCATATCTATTGAGGTGAAAGTTTGTGAAATGGAACTCCAAAATGTATACAAGGAGCACCATCTGTTACAAAACTTACCATGTTCTAATGACATTTGAATGTAAAGAGAGGCATAAGTTTATTGACAATTTTACAATCTCTGGATCAAGAAACCTCAGCCTCGCTATCTTTTATCGAGCAGCCTAAACTGTATACTATAAACACTACTGCTAAATTTGGGTAAACAACGGTTAACAGCAAAATTAGCTCGATTTTTTCTATGTACTTTCTTTTTTCCTGAGGGTAAAATATCAAAATTCCTCTGTCTAGCTGATTTACAAAGATGATTTCCATATCCTTCCTTCGAAAGACAAAATGATAATCGAAACATCATCATGGTACTTCCTACGATCTCCTTGAGGTATATCGAGCAACTCATGGAAGTTCAATCCTGCAAAATCCAAAACCAAAGTTTTGTTTAGAACGATTGCTATGAGAAATCAGTACTTAGCAAATATCACATGCAAAAGATTCTGAGTGTTTGTAATTACCAGCTTTCTTAGCAGCTCTGAATAACACTTCTTCGACGAGATGTTGTGCAGGATCTCCCTCGGGGAATATAGACATAAAGGTCTCTACTTCTGAGACTGCTTCTTCATTTGTGAAGTATTGGTAAAGACCATCAGATGATAAGATCAAAAATCTGTCTCTTGAACCAAGTGTGTGGTGGTAAAGTGATGGTAGACAGTTTATGTAAGGTGAATTTCCAATGTAGTTAATTCTGAACATCTCTAGAAGTGCATTATTCCACTTGGGCTGTAAAAATCACAGAAGCGGAAAAGAAATTAACAAAGGCTAAAAACAATCTTCAAAAATCAGGAAGGGCAGCCCGGTGCACTAAGCTCCCGCTATGCGCGGGGTCTGGGAAAGGGCCGGACCACAAGGGTCTATTGTATGCAGCCTTACCCCGCATTTCTGCAAAAGGTTATTTCCACGGCTCGAACTCATGACCTCCTAGTCACATGGCAGCAACTTTACCGATTACGCCAAGGCTCCCCTTCAATATGATCAATAATACAAAGAGTGTAAAATCAAGATTAGTACCTGTTTGAGATATCCTGCCCCGAAAGCTCGAGTAACTTTCAAGGAACCTTTCACTCTATCATTTTTAATCGCGAAAGGATCATCCAAATGCTCGCTTCTAATCCTAATTACTTCCTGCAATCATTCACAAGACAAGCACAACATAAACATATGAAACAGGCAAAAACTACAAATGTTTTTGTACAATTGCTTATGTAAATGGACTAAATTTTGTACCTCTTTAATCGATGTACTATGATCCTTAGTAAGTTGAGAAGGAACTAGACTATGTTTACGATCAGATTCAGCTCGATAAAGTGCATCAATGCTATTTACACTCTGCTCATTTATCCTTCTCAACTTGCTAATAGAAATATCAGATTCCGGATTTTGAGCTAAAACAGCTCTACTATCTCCAACATTCAACAAATAAACATCCTGATCTTTAAGCAACATTACTAAAACACAAGATCCCATTAAAGCCAATTCAGGATTCTCCTTTACCATCATATCAGCAATCTCCAAATATGACGCCTCGGTTTTCCTTAACCCTTCAGATAAAGCCTTCAATACATCAGAATGGTCAACACCGAAAACCCCATCTAATTTCTCCTTCTGATCAAATTCTTGATTTTGAACAAAATGTTCCACCTTAAATCCCGAGTTTCTTAATGGAATTGTCTCGTTACTCGTCGAATTCTTGGGGGTTTCTAACTTATCATTCCATAGCAATCCCTTGAGTTCTTTATAGACATTTGAATAAAGATTATTCAACAGGAAATCAGTAGCATCAGGTCCATTAAATCCATCATAAATCCCAACAAAAACCCAACCATGTTCCTCAGAAATCACAACATGTACTCTGTCTTCCCCTGCTTTACCTTGAGCCCAATGCACATTTTGGCCTCTAAATGAGTCATTTCCCTCATCATCATCATCAACCAAACTATTCTGACTACTCAAACTATTTCCAACATTACTATGATGACTATTACTCCCTTGAACATTAACTTCATTATTATTATTATTATTATTTTTCTCAACCAAATTCATTTCTTTATTAAACCTCAAAAAAGAATTTGACAACACTTTCTTTAAACTTCTAATTAAACCCCATTTCTTGGATTTGGGTTTGTACCTTTGGATATGATCATACTGGTTCTCCAACGGGCCCGAGGTGAAGCTCCGCTCAATCGGGCCTGACATGAATCCCCTCTCGATCGGGCCCGAGCTAGGGCCCATATTAGAAATACGGGCCGGAATCGGGCCTGAATGAATAGCAGAAGCTGCAAATGATGAACCTCTTGGGATTGGCTGAAGAGGAATGGATGAAAAAAACTGAGAACTCTCAAAAGCTGAAGCTTTATCAATATTATGATTGTAAGCAGAAAAGTCAACGATGGCCGTTGACAAAGGCGTTGAGGTGTTAGCAGAGATGGAGGCGCCGGAGATTGTACGGAACGCCGCCGTAGGGCAGCTGCTAGCGCTGGAAATAGTGGTGGTAGTGGAAGAAGAAGACGAATCATCGGAAAACAGGTGGGGTTTTGAATACGGGTCGGGTCGAATATAGCAAAAAGAATGACCCAAACCTTCATCAAGTGGATCAGTTATGTTCATAGCTATATCATGATGTCTTTTTGATATTTCTCCAACATCTCCCGCAAAACAAAGATTCAACTTTCTCACTCCGTTACCCATTTTTGAACAAATAAATAAAAAATATTTAAATACAGAAATTTTTTACAGGTGATTGTTGTTCATCAAATATTCACAACAACGGTGAGAGAATAATAAGAAGAAGAAGAAGAAGAAGAAGAAGAAAGAAGAAAATTGTTTGAAAGTTCAGAGGAGGAAAAATGGCAAGAGGATTTAAATGGAGAAGAGGAAAGAGAAAGAGTTAACTATTGATATAAGAAAAAAAAAGTATGAATAATATTTTAATTGAATTTGTTTTTTTATTTGATACTGGTTTGGGTGGGCAGTTCACTAATTTAATTTTTAAAATATTTATTCTTTGTTTATTTTGGGTGGGGCGTTGACATTCAATACTATATAGTTTGTTTGATTCTTTTTGTTTTTATTTTGGGCGGTGGGTGAGAAGTCAAGGNGTTATTAATCTAGTACTTTTATTTCAGAAAGTCAAATATGTAGCAACTTGAGGAATTTAAGAATATTGAATGGGGTCAAAGTAAAAGTTTAAATTTTATAACAGTAAAGAGAATAAAAGTCGCATGATAACTGAGAAATAATTTCTCAAGAAAAAAAAAGGAGAAATAATTTTAGGTGATATGTTTGCAAAAGAATGAATCTACCAGGTCAATTATAGTAGCGGAGTCATGATTTATAATAAGGAGACTAGGAGAGTTAGAATATAAATAATTGAATGTGCGAAAAAATCAAAGGAAGTAAAGTATATATATATATATATTACCTAACTACACAACGTAAAATTTTGGCCAGAAAATATCAATAAACAACCTTTAGACAAAGGTGGTTTCGCCATCGGCCAATCATATATCCTCATCTTTAGTGTTTCTTTAATAATATAACAGTATTTAATTGAATAGTTAATTTACAATTTAATTTGATATAGAGATTATATACGTAGTCATGGTATTAAATTTAGTAATAAAAATATTGTTTGATAAAATAAACATCTTATCAAAGAAATAAAGTTTAAAGTCTTAAATTCGTTTTTCAAAGTTGTAATAAAACCAACAAAGTTCAATACTAATTGCTGAACATTAGATCTAATCCATTTGTCTATTAAACTAATGAAATAACAAACTAAATATTGCTATATTATTTACAAATATACCTTAACCTTTTATCCTTTTTTGACAATATTAGATTTTTCTATTCACCTTTTTAAGGCCCTATATATACGTTTGTCAATGGACTAATGCCACCCAAAAATTTTATTAGATTTATTTTAAAAAAATACAATCAAATATTTGCTTATTTTTATTTTCATTTGCCATCTCCAACACTCAAATGTCTTTTGACTTTAACATTAATCACATTGTTATCTATAACAAACAACTTTTATCCTAAGAAGTCATCCACCATAAAAGAAACTAACTAAAATATTTATTGGGATAAAGGAGTAATTATAATTTGGATTATTGCAATCCAACTTCTTTATGAATCCAAGGAGATAAAATTGAGCAAATAAACTTAAATGAATAATTGACTTGTTAATCAAAACGTAATTATATTTCCTTTGTTTCAAATTATCAGTCGTGGTTTGTAAAAATAATTTTTTAAAAATTATTTGTCATTTTAGAAATTCAAGGGTAAATTAATTATTTTTTCCTATTTTATCTTTAATATTAATTATTCTTGAAGACTACGATACCTTAATTATGAGTAAGTATTAAATGAAGAGATATTATATTTTAAGACAAAAATAAGGATAAAATATTCAACAATTGTTTTTATTTCATATTTTCTTAAAGAACACAAAAAAAAAAAAGACATATGATTTGATACGGAGGGAGTAATTAACAAGCTAGCCGTATGGTCAACTACATCCCTCACAAGTTACAACAAAAAAGGCATAAGGATTGCAGCTGTCTATTGTCATCTTAGTCTTTAAGCATTCACTATATTGTTGTCTACAATTATTATCATCCTATCTCTAGGAAGAGAAGTAGAATAAGAGGAAAAACTAATTACTCAAGTTCAACACATTAAATGAAAACCCACCACCAAAGAAAAATGAATTATAAAATCATTTTATATATTTGTCATCTGATTTTCAAGTTTCTTTCTTGGTCTTTTTGCTTGGTATAATAAAGATTGGATTTCCCCAAAGACATCACATTATGAATGTTTTCTAACAAACAGATTAGACCTTAGTTAAGTGAAAGAGATGACGTTGTTTTCACACTCATAAGATGCAAGCCGTTTTCATAATTACTTTTGACTTTTTTTCATTGGTGTGCACTTAAAATTTTGCAAGCGGTATGAATAATGGCAGACTCAGAATTTTATTCCGTCTTGTCTCAAATTATCTTTTATGATTATTTTGTACATGCTTTTTAAGAAAATTTAATAAAAATAAGACTTTGTCTACTTTACCCTTATTCATATCTTAATATTTAATCTTTCTTCATTGGCATCTGAACAAAGTTACCATAATTGAGATATTTGTAGTCTTCAAGGATAATTAGTACTAAGGATTAAAATAAATTTAATTAATTTTATTTTGAACTTCTAATATGATAAATAATTTGAGACAACTATTTTAAATAACCATGACTAATAATATTAGACGAAGGAAGTATATAAAAAGATTCAAAAATATCATACTTAGAATTAATCTTATGATCTAAAGCAATTTTTGAATCCATTTGCCACTTTATTAGAATTTTCCTTCATGTCAAGAAGATTCAAAAATATCATACTTAGAATTAATCTTATGATCAAAAGCAATTTTTGAATCCATTTGCCACTTTATTAGAATTTTCCTTCATGTCAAGAAGATTCAAAAATATCATACTTAGAATTAATCTTATGATCAAAAGCAATTTTTGAATCCATTTGCCACTTTATTAGAATTTTCCCTCATGTCAATAAGATTCAAGAGCTTATATATAACAAAAATAATTAAATTTGTACCGTATAACTTTTAGCGAGTCCCTTTAATGTAATCCGAAAGGTACTGGCTCTGATACAATTCATCACAAACCAAACCCAATTGTCACGATATAGTCCGCTCTGACTCAATCTTTGGAGCCTTATGATTTTGGGGCTTTTGGATCTATACCCAGTTTTGGGATCACAATTGAAACCATACTCACTTTGCAAAATAAAAAAATAAAATTACAAGTCTACCCACTTTACGATCAACTTCAGACTTATCAGGTATGAAGTTAAAAAAATTAATGTGAAGTGCAATACACTTAAGGCTAATTAAGTCTAAAGTGCAAAAATTACACTTAAGATGCACTTAAGGCCAAATAGGTCTGAAGTACAATAAATATTTTCATGCACTTAAGGTCAGAGAAGTCTGAAGCGAAAAAATTGCGCTTCAAATAAACTTAAGGCCAAATAAGTCTGAAGTGAAAAAATTGCACTTCAGATACACTTAAGGTCAAATAGGTCTAAAGTGCAACCAACGTTTTCATACACTTAAGGCCATGAAGTTCAAATTGTCCAGAAACACAAATTTTTTCTTCGAATTTTGACAATCCAATATATAATTTAATACCTAAATCTACTCCAAATGAGCTTAAATTTGAAAATAACTTCCAAAATTCATCAAGAACAAACTCCAATCATTAATTTGTCAAAACAACAATAAATCTAACGAATCTAACATCATAAACTACCTTAAATTATGTTCATAAATACCATATAAAATTATTGTTACCCAAAGAAGAAGAAGAAGAAGAAGAAGAAGAAGAAGAAGAAGAAGAAGAAGAAGAAGAAGAAAGAGGAGAAAAATGAGCAATTTATGCAAAATACCCATTGAGCTTAAAATAATTACCCTTTCCTACCAATCTAAAAACTATGTATGATATATACCTACCCAATTAAAACTAATTACCCCTACCTACCCACGCTCGTCCCAACTTTTTAGCCCATTTTGCTTAGCTTAGCTTGATTTGGCTTGGTTTTGTTTGCCTTCGCTTAAATTGGCTTAGCTTGGCTTGACTTGATTTGGTGTGATTTGGCTTGGTTTGGTTGGAATTGGATTGGATTGGCTTGGTTTATATAGTTTAGTTTGACTTCGTTTGGCTGTGTATTTAAAAAAATGGATAGGGAAAAGATAATGGGCACGGGCGGATAATTAATTTCCAGTGCATGGGTATTCCTTAAAGATACCTGAGAAAAAGGCTTGAAGTTATTTAAATCTTGATTACTAATTAAAAATAAGTATATGTTAAATGAGGGCGACCAAACAGAGCGCTCATACAGTTTTTACATGGTTTTATCTCCTTGGGCTTTACCCCAAAAGAGTCCAATATAGTTGGGTCCTCAACTCACTCTACGAGGAACCTTAATTCGATCATGTTCGCCGAAGATATTCTATCATGATTTAGTATGAATGAAAAAAATTGAATAAACCAACATTAGAATGAATAAGTGTATATAGCTCATTACTTAAAACTCACCAATCAAAAAGCAGAAATGAGAATTTCTCAAAGAATTAGCGGCAGTTTTCAAAAGTACAAATACAGTAATGTACTCTTTTGTGCTCCAGCAATTAGTTTGGTATATTCTTTTTGGGATTTTTACATATACAAATACAGTAATGGGTATATAGCTTATTTTCTTTCCCTCGTGCGCTTTCTCTCTCTATATATATACACACACGTCTCTCTCTATCTCTCAATCCTTAATTTCAGTAACATAGAGCAAAGGAAAAGAGAACAACAATTTCACCATTGACAACCATTAAAATCTTTGAACCTTTGAATTCAAATTTGGATTTTCAAAAAAACATTATTTGTTTGAATTGGGTGTTGTTGCAACAATTGAGAATTCTCTCTACGTCTCTCTCTCAATCCCTAATTCCAGTAATGTAAAGCAAACGAAAAAAGAGCAGCAATTCCACCATTAACAGCTATTAAAAAAGCTTTGAATTCGAATTTAGATTTTCAAAAATCATTATTTGTTTGGATTGGGTGTTGTTGTAAACAATTGGGAATATTGTTTGGAGTTTATATCTCAATTTTGAGGGTGTTTTGGTGAAGATTAGTCTTGATTTTAGCTGAATTTCATATTGAAACTCGAAGAAGAAGACATGACATACATTGTACTGCAGAAATTGTAGTAAAGTTGTAGAAATAGTGTATTCTGTTGTTTATATATATTTTTTTATTTAAATATTGTATGAAAGTTGAACAATATTGTAT